TGGGTAAATAAAGTAAACTTGTTGACGAATTTTTCAACTCAAAACCTTTTTCAAATTCTTGCTTGCGTGATTAGCACGAGAAAAGCAAACATACTGACGTCACAACCATGTTAACATCCTCTCATGCAAACACTCCCATTGGCCAATCAGAGCGTGGGTACTATATGAGTTATTTTCTAAAGCAATTTATGCAATGTGTTACTCTGTTATTAATCTATGTGGATACTGGACTTCAGGAACTTTGTCTGTCCTTGTTAGTAATAAGAATACCCTGTACAATGTGATGGGTATAAAAAGACATAAGCCAGTTGATCTTCCTGAAAGTGAGAGTATCAGTGGAGCTGAGATAAACCTTACTGTTTGTGCTGTAAGCAATGGTGTGCTATGTTGCAATTTGGCTGAGAGCAAATCTGTGTTGAAGATGTGCATTTCAAAACATTGTCATGAACTGACAGGATTTTTTTCAAGGATTGGAACATACTGTATAAGCTGTGTAGTTCAGCAGAGAAGTAGAGTAGAGGATTTATCTTTTCTTGTGGGATATGATGAAAGTTAGGTGAAATAAGAGTTGTTAAAAGTGTCAAAGGCAAACAGACAGTTGAAAAAATTTAAAAAATTACACAAAGTAAGTTAAATTGTCAAAGACTACAATAAGAAATACACTTTATATTATGTTCATGCAAAATTGAAAGCAGTGAAAGGGAAAAGATTGCAAGGAAACACAGGTATAGTTCATTCGAGTATTGTGAGATGGAACCTCTTAAAAAGAAACATTTAGTTACAAGGAGAAAAGAAAACAGGCAGATCGGGGTATAGATTTTTGCATTGAACAGTCTAAAAATAAAATAAGAAAAGGTCCCTGTTATATACGTTGTGTTTGTAATCCATTACTTTTTAAGAGATCAGTTCACATTTTTAGCAAAAGTAAATATTTGTGTCAAAATTTTTCCAGTGTGCAGTATTCATTTGATGGAAAACAGTATGTTTGTAAAACATATCACTCAATACAGACATTTTCTGTCAACACCTCAGTGCCACTATTAACAGAGTTTGACTCTATTACCGACATCCAATAAAGACAACCCTATGTAGAAACCAAGCAACTACCTCACAAACTACACCCATTATCTTAGCAATCAAATTCCAATATAACTTCACGCCTACTACTTCACACAAATCTCAACAAAACCCCTCAAATACACAATACCACTGCACTACCCACATATCCCTCATACATATAACAAACTTCACATACACGTAGTACAACCACTTCCAAATATACGCTCCCACAGAATCTTGTTTGGTACATTTCTTACCCGTTGTTTTGCACGACTACAACGTGAAACTTCCAGCAACTTCTTAGTTACACGTTTTTTGGGAAAAATGTCGTACGTGTTCTCGTTCACTTTTTTTTCTCACTGCCGTTCATTTCACCTTGCATTGGTCGCTGCTAGCATTTCTCATTTTGTCACCGCCGCTACAAAATTTTCATGTTGTTCTTCCAACAAAAAAATCTCCTTTTTTTTTCTTTTTTACCTCTGGCTCTAGATCTCTGTCGTCCTTTTTCTAGCTGAGTTTCGCTGGCCTGCCGCCTACTTTCTCTTTTTCTCTGTCTTTTTCTTGCTCTACATACCCAAATTTGTGGACATGATACTTTAGACAACACGGATAGAGAAACAATTTCCGCTTTCGTCTTAATTGACACTTTAGTTGTCTCTTCTTTACAAGACGATGGTGGCTATGAGATTTCCCGCCAAAATAACCTCGAGTTGTATTTGGGTTGCAAATAACTTTTGATTGAGTTATTTTACATTGGTGTACCTGTGGTGCGGACGGACGGTCGTTTGTTTGGGTGGTCGGTGTACGGTCACGTGATTATCAAATTTTCTGGAATGGGTAGATTTACTTACCCATGGTGCTCCGCTGGCGTGCACGACAGCTCCGCTATTATTATTACACTGTCAGGTCAGATGATATAAAAGTGCACCGTCAGGTCAGATGATGTAAAAGTACACAAATCGCGCTGAAACTTCGTGAAAACAAAGACAATGACACCAGGTAACAATATTTAACTTTTATCCCTTTTAGTTTATTTATTTCATCTAACTTTCACTTCCTATACAAACTCTTTATTTCCCATACAAACTCCCATATTATGCTTGGGCCACCTGCCACCTGTGGTCTAATAAGTGCGCTGATTTCCAACTGACATTCAGAGAGAGTTATGGGAAGTTTTTATGGGGGGGGGGGGGG